GGGGGGGGGGGGGGGGTGCTAACCTTAAGGACGACATGAAACCCTAAAAAGGGTTTAGGGTTCATCTACATATTACAGGGATTCATAGCATAAAGGTATAGTGCCCCTACTTATCAGGGTCATTTGGTCCGCAAGTATAAGGAGAACGGAAGAATCGGTAATATAATTAAGGAATACATGGAGGCTTTCGGGGTTTATAAAGGGGTGCCAGAAGATCTCAGCTCCTCCATGGTGATGATCGACTCATTCTTGGCTACGAGAACGTCCAGAACGCCCCGCCACCGGATGGGGATGGGCTTCTCCAGATAGTTCGCCGTATCTTCGTGGGCAGCGCTCTCAATGGCATGCTGAAGCTCTTGCACCACCGGATCTGCCCCGTGGCCACTTCGTGTGTTGTCAATCGGGAAGTACCAGAGACCCTCGTCCTCCTCTCGTGTGAACGGGTGCACCTGCTCCACCAAGCGGTTCTCGAGCTTCTCCCAGAGTATCTTGCTGATCTTCCTATGGTCGCTGCTCTGTGGCACATCATCCTTGTGGGTGCCGACAAGCAACACCGGTGCCCCACGCGCATGCATCGCCAAGGAGTTGAGCCAGTACCGCAACATCGCGATCGCACGCTCACAGGACTCGTCGGAACGCAACATGTGTGGCATCTTGAACACCACGAGGTAGACGCTGCAGCGTGAGAGGAACAAGTGATGCAAGTTGTGAAAAACCGACTGGCCACCAAAATCCCAGGTCGAGAACGTCACAGGCTGACCCACGGACTTCCGGAGCATTATCATCTCCTGGCGCCGAAGGATCGGAATGGCAGGGCTGCGTGTTTTGGAAGCAGGGCTCCGTAGCTTCTTTTGGCTGCCTGTTCGATTAACTGAATTCACTCTCCTCGCGATACTAAACCATGGTATCATGCGTGAGCTAACACATGTGCACAGAAAACATCTGACTCTAACACAAATTTACGCTACTGCTGTCTCCTGATCTAGCTTCTGCGCAACCTCCTCCACCGGCAACTTGTTGAGCAGATTGTCTTGTGGAGCGGGCGTCTCTGCAGCACCAGAGCCCTGATCATCAGCCGCTCCGACTTCTGCCACGGGCGAGCTGCTCGGGCTGTGGCCAGCCGGACCAGCTGCTTCAGGGACTTCAGGGCCATGTTTTCTGGCTGCGTCCTTTCCATCGGCCAGCAGCTGCTTCACCAGGCTCTCCGTTTCTGAGGTTGTGCCCTTCATGTGCCAGCCCACTGCGTCGCCGCGCTGGATCTCGCAGCTCGCGGTCTCCACTCCGATTGTTGACACCTGGGCGTCATCGAAGGGTTTGCCCACCAAGGACCGAACGGTGGAGGACTTTCCGGCACGGCCCTGACCCAGTAGAACTAGCCGTCCCCGCCGCCAGGGTAGGTTGGCATCTGCGGCCTCACACGGAACTCTTGGTTTATTACTCTTCGTGTCGATCTGAGGACGCGTTTCGATGCCTTGAGGTTTACCCTTCGAGTTGGGGCATGTCCAACAAACCAGACAGGACACCAAAGCATCCTGCAAAGCAGACTTGGCTCTGCCGGCATAGAAGCTGACTTCGATTGGCGATGCATCGGCTTCGTTCTTGGAGAAGCCCTCGGAGCTCTCCTTTTCGGTCGAGCCAGGTGGGAGAGGAGCTTCGGACGACGCAGCCGGAATCTGCTCCTCCAGAAGTGGGCTGTGCTCCTGCAGCATCGGCCAACTCTACTTCCCTCCCATCGAACGCACGTGTCCGAAGCTGCTCCAACTTATTAGTTATTATACAGTTATACCTGCTGACTTGTCTGCACTGCCACTAGGCGGTGCGATTAGTGTTTGTGCTCGGCTGGCGCAGCTTGACAGTTGCCCCCCTCCTCTTCAAAGGCTTTGGCTTCTCCGAAAAGGCTCAGGTCTTTCTCATCAGCTCCGAACAAGCCGGACGAGAAGTCTGCGTTCTTCTTTTCCTTCTTCTTCTGCTTCTTGCGGTCTTGCGGGCCCTCCTTCCTGAGGAACACGCGGCAGCTCTGATCAATGAGAGCCAGCAGGCTACTGAGACAATGCTGTGACTGTGGCTATGCGGCAATGATCGCTGACGCTCTCGAGCACAACTGGGTGCACTGACTGCTGCGACGTGCCAGGGTCGGTCAGAGGGTCGCCTGATCAAAGCGGATAACAACAGGCAATGCATAACAACAGCTGGAATCAGCTGGAATCGACGCGATAATTTCCAAGAAGCCTTGCCTGGTGACTCTTCAGTTTTCGCAAAATTCGGAGCTGCGGATGACGCAGTAGATGTCTTCTTCTCCTGCATACAGATGCCAGTGAAAGAACATCGCCGCTCATGGATCCAAGCTGGAAAACCATGGTGTTCAAATGTCCCGGGCGAGCTGCTGTGGACCTTCTGTTCTGTGAGCATTCGGCACTTGCTGCTGTGTCTACACAGTTAACTACTGAATGACTATGGCCCCTGCTAGGGTTGCCAAATGCTTCAGCAGCATCGATTGGGGCCCTCGAGGTGTCTTCTACTTGGCCTCCTCCCCCAAGGAACAAACCTGCAAAGCTTTCAAGGTGTCTTTCGGATGACCGAAGCCACGAAGGTCACGAAGGCGAGTCCTTGGGACCCGAGTTGAACCTGGTTTTCATCAGGGCTGCGGGCTGACGACTTAAAGAGCTCTGCAGGTTGGAAGCACTGGCAGAAGATGCTAATGGTCGATACCCCTCGCGTGATACAGCTGAAGCTATGGTTCTTCGGTCCGAGTCCTGTATGGTTGGACTTAGGCTTCTGCTTTCCGGCTTTGGTAATACATCTCCTGGCTCCTGGCCCTTGTGGCCTTGAGCCGTAATGGCTGGGGCGGCCCAAGCGACTGATGATCACGCTGCCCTGCCCAAACCCTTTGAGCACATTTCTCCACAGTGGTCTGTCCCTCACCCACGACCTCAAGTGCATAATGCCAGCTGGAAGTTTCCGCAGCAATGATGATCTTAGCAAGCAGGTCCTGGCGACCCGCAAGACGTGGCTTCGAGCCACCCTCCTGCTCGCCAGCGAGGGTCTGGAGCTTGATTTCCTGGCCGCAGGCAATCAAAAAGTATTCTCCTTCTCCGGGCCTCTCTGCTCTCTCTTCGCCCCTCACATTGCCCACTGCAACATGGGACCTCGCCAGAAGCAGTCGGAGGATGCGTTCGGTCTGCAAAGTAGGAGCTGTAGACCTACAAAGCGAGTGGTGGAAGGGAAGGACATCCTGAAGCGACCCTGCAAGGTGCGTCGCAAGATCCTGAATCCACTTCGATGGAGTATCTCGAAAAGATTTGATGTGCTGATGTCCGCCTTGAAGTCCTCATGCTCCTCGGCTTCTTCGCTTGGGCTCGACAGTCGTTCGAGCCGCTCCTCCAGATGCATTTCAAGGAAAGCTCATGAACGTCCATTTCTGCAACTCGGCCTCAGAAGCGTCAGATGCGACGCAGGACAAGATGATTTCCAACGTTTCCGTGAGAAGACTTCTGGTCGACTGTACTCCGATTGGGTTAGCCAGCCGGACCCTCGCCTGTCATTCAAGGAACTCATTTTTTCGCTCCCTCTACTTATGGGTATGATTGGAGATCCCATGCTACTCCGGGCTTGCCCCGAAACTGCTGGGTGTTAGACATCGAACGCAGGAAACGTCCGACATGGACATGTAGATTCGATGGAAGACATAGTCTATTTGCTGAAGAAACGCCAGGCTTTAGGATCATACAACTGATTATGTCTCTTTACATCAATCCTCCCCTCCGAGTCTCTCCGAGATGGAAACAGGACACGCCTCTTTGTGCGACTTCCGCCGCCCAACTGCCGGCAGCTCCCCTTCCATGGCATCTCAAGGGCCCCCTGCGTTTCCTTTAAGGCCTGGAAGACTCTATGGAGGCTCCGAGTGACGCTACTAGTCCAGGCCTCTTTGCTTGAAAAGAAAAGCACTCCAGGGCATGAGCGTGGAAGGCTGAAGCAGGAAGTGGCCACCAGATACCACAAGCTTGATACGATAGCAAGAGCTCTTCTCAAGCTGGGCGTCGTTGGGACATTCATTTCTGTCCGCGAGGCTCTTCTGCCACATCAGTCGCCAGAAAGGAACACCTTGGCATGTGCATGCAATGAATACAGTGGAGAACCTTGGTCAAATTTAATGATGCTGAGCCCGTATCTCGCAGAGTTAACTTCGTAGGCAACATTGGATCGGTGACCTCGTTCGGCTTATTCGATTCGAGCAGAAGTGCTGAGTGGACACCAACGAGTCTCTTCAGAAACGGGTTCTCAGCTGAACACGGTGAGGTCTTCGCCTTGTGCGAACACTGGCCTTGGAAAGCAGCAGTCACAGTGCCAGAGCCCCTCTAGCACTTTGGTGGACCAGAGCCCTAAACCCTGAACATTCCTAAACATCCCTAAACCCTAAACCGCCTGCGGGGTTTCTGATTTCTCAGAGGGCTTTTCGGACCCTTGGCATCCGGGGAGTCGGCGGATCTGCCTTTGTCAGCTCTTCCAGCGTCATCTTCAGCTTGTACCTTGGGCATCACGATGCTGGAAAATCTGTGTATATATTCCACCGAAGATCCGGCTCTAAGGGCCGTGCTCATGCTGCTGGCGGATGGGCTTCGGGTTCTGCATGAAGACGATGCCACTGGTACCTGCGGAATGCAATTTTAGCCGGCTCTGGGGACATGGGACATGGTAACACCGAAAGCATGTGCGATGACATCGTCTATTCTTCGGAGCCTCATGACTTTTTCGCATTGATGTGTGTATCGCCGAGACTTCTGAGCAGTTCAGCCCGGCGTGCTCTTAGAGCCTTAAGTTGATCTTCATGAGCCACGCGCTCCCTGAGGATTTGCCTTTGCAAAGACTCCAGGGCTGCGGTTCCTGCGGCCTGTCCGGCCTCTTCCTGTAGCTCGGCGCACTTTCTTTCTAGGTGACGAAGCTCCGCAGCTTGCTGCTCGCACTTTTGGCGCAGCTCCTGTGCAGCTCTGGTGCCGCTGTGCTCCAATCCATCCGGCAGCGGCCTGTGAACCATCTGGTCGATGCCCTCAATGCCCTCGCCATTGCCCTTGCCAGCGACGGCAAGGAACTTCGGGAGCGTCAGGCGTTGCCAACGCTTGGCCTCTTCGACCGCTTCCTCCACTGCTTTGGCCGAGGCATGGGAAGCCTCCGTGGCTGCTTGGAGATGTGCCTCCAAATGCTTCCGCCTGCGAAGCCAAGAGCTCAGCTCTTTGCGCCCGTCACTGAAAGCCTCGGTTGCGGCTTGCAGCTGCTGAACCAGATTCTCCAAGGAATCCTCCTCAGCTTTATCCACCTGAGCGCTCACCTCGCTCTCGAAGAAGGGGAGCTCCGTCAAGCTTGACAGAGTAGGGTCGAAGGAGCCACTCCGGCTTTCACGGCGAGTCATTCCCATCTTCCTAGGCCCTGGACTTCGCCTTCTTCCTTGGATGGAAGGCTGCGCTGGCCCCGGCTGCAGCTGGGAGAGAGCCAACTTCCGGAGCGCATCGGGACAGCGGCCGCTCAGTTCAACGACGCCCGAAGGATCGCATGGGCTCGGGCTCGGCTGCGAAGGACAGCTGCCACTGGAAGTCATCCTGATCCAAAACAGCCATCCCGGCAATCCACACCTTTGGGCATATGCCTGATCTGCAGGATGCGCTTCAGAGAGGTGGCATGCCGGCACGTGGCGAGTATGCTCTTGCATGCCATGCTGTTGCTGAGGCTTTGGCTCGACACCGACGGCCTCGACAGCTGGTAGCTTGGACTCGCCCCGAGGTGGTCGAGCAACTCCTGGCACAGGCTGATGAACCAAACGAGGGGGAGGGGGGGTTCTCGGCGGGTCCGACCTGCAGCGTCGAGGTTCGAGGCCTTGTCAAGGTGAGTGTCGCACCTCCGCAAACCATGCCTCAGAGCGACTCGAAGTCGGCAGCACAGTGAGCTCACGTGCCTGTTGCTGACCAAGTCCGCTTCAATCGTCCTTCTTCTCGTAAGGAAAGGTATGAGTGTAAACGCCCGTCCTCAGATTCGGCCGCAGACTCTGAACACACCTGGCCTGGAAAAACATCTGAGGCAGGCCACTGCCCCATATACATCATGTAGTTGTTCAGGACAGGGCCGCAGTAGGTTGACACCTACCATACCATATCAGTGAAGAATTGAATAGAAACAGCAAGGCCGAGAATTTCACATCCAGCCTTCAATGCCTCCGCGACAAGCGCCGCAGAGATTAGCGCGTTGGTTGACCTGGAGTTGGAATAGATTCCACAAGCGACATCACAGATTCCATCTGTGGCTAGCACGCAATTGCCGGAATGATTCGCTTCACCACACCCATCGTCAGTTGGTAGGTGACTCCCTGCTTCAAAGCACCACAAACACCGATGGTACCATTGCAGTGCTACGTGGACCCTTCTCCGCCTGAATACCAAACGTTTCAGCTCGATCCTCGATTTGCAGCAGTCGTTCTTTTGTCGACCACTGCCAATGACACATGGAGTTCTGCCTTGGCTGTCTCGTAGATCCATTGCATGTCAGCTACGGAGTCCGCGTTCATCTTCTGCCCCGGGAAGCGCTGCTCCTGTGAAAAAGGCGCGAATTATGCGGCACTGCTGCGAGAGATGATGCGGACGGAGAGGAGGTCTCCCACATGACCACCAGCGCATATTCGATGCAATGTTCCGGCAGTCGAGGCCTCGTGACTCGTGTGACTCGTGACAACGCAAGCCGGATGTATCTAAGTCATGATCTAACCACCCATCCAAAGAAAGCAGAGCAGCGTCTCAGCGATGGTGCAGAGCGGATAGTTCACCTAACAAACACAGTTACAAAGCATTCCTTCAAGGCCAATTACGGCTAATTACGACCTAGACGTCGTCGTGTTTGCTGTTGAACCCGGCCTGCGGAGGAAACGCATCCAGAGAGCAGTCGAAGCAGGACCTGCTGCGGAGTGGCCGTCCTTTACTCACAGAAGGAACCTCGCCCTCATCTCCGAGCTATGAGCGTCATCGAGGGAATGATGACTCGAGCCTGTCCCATGCGGAGGGGCACAAGGCGGGCAGATGGCGAAGACGAAGAGGTGTGAGGCTCTGATCAGTCGAGAGTCCTGACCCTTGAAGCCCTCTGTGCCACCATCCTCGAAAACCGAGGCGCAGTCAAGAAACAGAAAACTTCACAGCAGAACCTCTGAGGCCGGCGGCAATAAGAGGAATGATCGTGCTTGGGTCTGGCCTTGGCTCATCACCACCCCGTCCTTTCTGGACATGCATTGCCCCCCAGGTTGCGGCTCGCCAGAGGTGCGGTCGATCATGTCATGCAGAGTCGCATTCATCCACCTCTCTTCTTTAGGCTGCTCTGAAACAAATTCAAACGAGACAGTTCGGCAATCGATGCTGCGACCTTCTAGCCGCGATGTTATCCAGCCCGGCAATGAGCAGGTTAAACCTCGTGCGTGCATGCTGGAGCTGACCACTCGTTGATGCTCTCTGGCTCAAAAGACTGCGAGGCTGGCTTCCTGTAGAAGGTCTCGTCAAAATCCTGGATTTTCCCGACGTGCGGTGTGACCTTCCAGGAAGGCCCGGACCGGAGGGATTTCTCTGGTGGGCCGTTGCCTTCGTCCCGATGTGCCCTAGTCGTCGGTTGATGAAGGCCGCTGCGACTTCAGCTTTCGGCTTGCCAACATCCGCCTGTGGCCCCGTGGCATGTACGCGAACCTCTGGGGGGGGGGGGGTGCGCAGACTCGCAGATAGGCCTGACGAAAAAGAAATTGTCTGTTCAGATTGGTCACCTCAACAAGGCAAGTGTGCGCTTTGCTCCTTCAGGTTCTTTCTGCTTCGATGCTCGGCCGCTAGCATCAATCGTGTCCATATCTATGACCTGTGCAGGGGCATTTCTGCTCAAAGCCCGCTTTTAATCAAAACAGTTCGTGAGGCGGCGGCGTGGATGTCTGGGAAACCTGACAGGGCCAGGTCCTGCCGGCACTCCAAAGAATCAAGAGAAACTGAGGAACCCCAGGGTCTCTCCTAAAGTCTCCTTGAGGATTTCGCACCCAAGCCCGCCGGCTCCAATAACTAGGACTTTGCAGCCTCGGATCTGCTTTACCCAACCAAAATTCTTTTGTTTTAGAAACACGCAAGGTGGGTTCGGCCAAGGACTCCGCTCTCTCTGAGGTAGCTGATGGTCTCTGCCTCAAAGTGTTCTCGGGGACAACTGTCACATGAGCACGTGAAGCTTGCCTGGACGATCTGAATGGTATTGTACTGTGTATGTATGTGTGTTTTCGGTCTGTGTATGCACGTATATATATATATATATCTGTGTGTGTGTATATATATATACATGTGTGTGTACACATACCTACCTACCTACACACATACATGAGTTGTGACCTTATTTATCTATACCTAATGATGTGTAGGCTTCAATAACCACAACAACCCTGTGCACGCTTTCCTGCTCTCGAGAGCCAATGGCATCTTATCACGGCTTCCTCTCCTTGGCTTCCAGCCCCGGGCTCGAAAGCGTCCGGGTCCGCAAAAGGGCTCTTTCTGGAGAGGACCCGGAAGACGTGCCCATGCAGCTGGCCTCCGAAGGTGCTCGGATTCGAGTTTCGTTTGATCCGTGATGTGATGTCATAGTTATAATAATAGGTCGCAAGTACTCTCGGACTCTGGGGCTCGCGCTACCAACCTCGGGCATGGTGCGGGCCTTCTGTCGGCAAGATGCGGGGCAGGGGTAAATGTTTCATCGCTTGCGTACTTGGGCCGGCCAGCCTGGGTCGCACCGCGCCCCGAAATCTCAAACACACCCGAGCATCTAGAATCTACAGGCCGCTCCCCAGCCTCGTCTACGCTTGAAGCTCCGAAGGAACGACGACAGCACACGGGATGTTCACTCAAGAACTGCCTGATGCTTCTCGTCAAAAAGCAAGGATCTGCAGAGGGCGTGCTTTTTCTGTGCGTTGGAAGGTGGGCGTTCCTGTGGGGTTCGTCAAGACTGGATCCCGAGGTGCGCCAAGACCTCCTCCGCAGCACGCTCGCCTTCTTCCAGCGCACCATGTGCAAAGCTGCCCTTGGTGGGGTGGGTGGCTTCCCCAGCCCAGAAAAGATTTCCGCAAGCATCCCCCAAGGTACTTCGGAGGTGCGCAGTGCCGACGGGGCAGTACGAGTAGGCCATCTTTGCGAAGGGATCGTTGTCCCATCGGTGGACTTCGCTCTTCAGGAACAGAGCATTCAGCTCCGAAATGGGCTTGTCGAAGATCACACTGAGCTGCCGCAGGATTTCTGCGGTCATCTCTGCATCGCTCATGCCGAGGAGATGTTCGTTAGCTGTCCGTCCTCCGAAGTAAGCGGTGAGGACTCTTTTGTTCCGTCCGGGCCAAAACACCTGAGAAGACATAGAATGGAAGAGAAACGCCATACGTTCGGGCCAGAAGCTGTCTTTGAAGCTCAGATAGACCGTCGTAGTTACCCCTCGGCCAAGCCGCTCCACCGCCACCCTCTTGCTTTGGGGCAGCTGGGGGTCGAAGGTGATATCTGGAATACACGCCAGCGGCACGGTGATAACCTTGCAAGCAAAGGTGGCTTCGGCGTTAAGGCATTGGTTTGGTGCAACAGAGGAGGTGTTACATTGAAACGGTTTCGGACTCTCAGGCGAGGCACAGCCGCACGTGCTGCAAAAGAAGCCTCTGAGCCCTGACACTCCATGCACACCCTGTCTCCAGCCCAGTTTACCTTGCGGACGACCGTCGATAAACTCAAGTCTAAGTCTTTTGCCATCTTTTCCGCCAAGCCCTGATGCCCACCCACGATCTTCCAGTGCTCCTCATCTCCATCCTCGTCCAGAAGGCTGGGTCGTGCTTTCGCCAGTGCCTTTATGCGATCACTGTACAGGTCATCCTCATAGACACCCACGTCAGCGAGGTCTGCTGCATGCCATTCGGCCATCATCCCTTCCATGAGCCTCCGCTCATCATCTGTTGGGGGATGTTCGAAAACACGATCTGCAAGCGCCTGCATGCTGACATCCTCGCGCCCGGCTTCAATCCATTCCTCGACTGCTTCTGCAAACCTATCAAAGAATAATCTGTTCGGTTCGGTGTGTACCTTCTCAGGCCCACGAAGTTGTCCGTCAACATAAACCCAGCACTCGGGTCCACCTGGGACATTCGATGCCCAACCGTTGGCTGAGCCGTCCGTTTGCATATTGAACCGCTTCAGATATTTCCAAGTGGTGACATGCTGCCCATGCACCCAATCGGCACCGCCTCGCGAGGCCCTGCCGCCGACGAGGCCCCGTGCCTCTAGCACACGCACCCGGACGCCGTAGTCCTGCAGCCGCAGAGCACAGGCCAAGCCTGCTAGCCCAGCACCAACCACCAGCACCTCTGATTCTGAGCTCGAGCTGGGATCTGCTTTGATTTTCCTTTCACCCGGGCCAGGATGCCAAAATTGCTCGAAGCACGAACAGCTGACCCCCATGGCAAGGTGTCAAGGGACTAAACCAAGCATTCTGTGCACCGCTGCTTTCCACCTAACTTTCTGCCACCTCTCTCTATTTAGACCAATATCGTAACATCCAGTCTTTTTCGCCCACTTGGCTTCCCCATTGCCAGTCTGATCTGAGAACTACACACCCGAAAGCTCCGCGGAAACGCTAGCTACTTGTTTTGCCTCGGCCCAACGCTTAGGAGGACACAGCGTGGAGTTGGAGGTCAACTGGGAACAGTACATTCCTGGCAGAAGCACCAAGGCACCTTTTTGGCAGCAAGTTTACGTGGCATCTGGGCTTTTCGGCTGAATCTGCTGCGCAATGCCCTGACAAGTCATGCTGAAGTGGGCTAAGAATCTAGCCGAACCTACGTAGGCATACGGCGAAAACGCACGGAGTGCTTGCAACGATCTGCAGGCCTGCTGGGCTTGTTGTGCACGCTGGCGAAGACTTTTGAAAGCTCCGGAAAGCATGCCTTCGCAGCCAGGGGCGTAAAACACCAATGCTCGCCACGGAAGGCACGTGCCTCGAACATTGCCAGGATACCCAGCAGACTCGCTCTTCCACGGCGAGCCAGCCTCGGGACGAGGCGGGGGGCGCGAGGCGCAGCCGCAAAGCCAGACTCAAGGACACGGTTGCTCGGGTGCCGGCGGAGGAGCTCTCCAACTTCACTCCACGCTTCTCTGCCTGACAGCGGCATGGACCGAGGGTGCAGCTCTCGCTGCCCCGAAAACTCTCCGAAGACATCTCTGTTCGCACGCAACCTCTGTCACTTTGTCCCTGTTTTTTCGCCCCTATGGCCCTATGGGAGTGCGATTCGAAGGAGAGAGAGAGAGAGAGAGAGAGAGAGAGAGACCCACAACAAAATCGGAAGCAGAGAGAGACAAAGGAAGAGAGAGAGAGAGAGAGAGAGAGAGAGGCAGGCATCAAGAGACGAGAAAACAAACAGAGACAGAGCGTCCCGAAAGCGCTTAGAGCAGCGAGTCTCATGTAATCATCCATCCTCCGAACCCATCCATCCGTGCGCAACACCGAGAGTGTTGCAATTTCGGGACCAACGTGAGGCCAAGCTGCTTGAATTTACAATGGATGGCACTTACTTGCCACATCTGGGCCCGAATCGTCACGGCACCCCACACGCATCGCACGCCAGGTCCCGTGCATTAACGCAAGTGTAACGAGATTCGACTAATCGAAATTATTCAAGGAAAGATGCACCTTCACGAAACCCGAAGGGCCAACTAACCTCAAAATCGATGCCCTGCAACCTCAAGGCAAAGAGACAACCTCACATCAAGATCACATGTCATGGCAAACCCCTTCGCCGTGCTTAGCGGGGGAAGAGATTCCAAGTGTCCGTAAATGTCTGTGACTGCGGACTGCGAGGAAACGAAGAGAAAGCTTCGGCAAAACTGGTGAAATGGAGTTGGTGAGAAGTCACCGAAAAAGGCTGGGTGCGATGTCAAACTGGCATCAGTTGGCCGGCTGCTGCTCGGCGCCAGTATCTCTGTGCAGTTTTTGAAAACCGTGCCTCACGCTGCAGCGCTGCAGCTCCGCCAAGTACCACCGAAACTCGGGGCAAAGAGACTTGCCCCGTGAGCGCCTGCGTGAGTCGACCGCAGTTGAAAGTGACTGGCAAGGCGCCGAGATAGGCCGAGCCGAGCGCCTCGAACAAGGCCGCGACAACCCCGCCCCCATCTGTCTTGCAAAGCTGGGAAGAGTCCCAGTCTGCCTGACATGATCGCAAGCCCAAGACAGTGCCCAATACTGTACGGTCACAAAAAGGCAGGGCCTCACCACCCAGCACTGCCAGGTGCGCACTCTCGGACTCCGAAATCCAGCCTCCGATACTCTGCGAAGCTTTCGGCAGCATCAGACGGACAGGACGTCCGCCTTCGCCCCAGGCCTCACTTGCAGCCGCTTGCAGCTCCTGCAGCTTGTGTTCAAAGGCTGGCAATCGGAGCGGACCCTCTCGACGGCTTCGTGCGAATGTCAAGACATAAGGTCGAGCAAGCATGAACAAGTAGTACAGCGATGCTTCCGTGGATTCATGGACTTCGAGGCTACGGCTCGCATCCTTCTAAACAGAATGACGTTGTGATTGTGTCAACGTGAGGGTAGTCTACAGTCGCACCATCCAACCTGGAACACTTCTGCACCGAGGGCTGCGGTCTCTCCGATGTCCGACGAGCTGTCTGCGGCTTTCACCTACGACAGCAGCTGCCGCATTTGCAGGTGACCAAACCCGGAACAGTTGAAACGAACTCAGATGTCGAAGCCTCCGGTGCTTCTTTGCCTTGTAAACGATATCAGTAAACATGAGGGTCAGCCGATGCGCTTTACCCCCGACTCCCGAGCCAGGGGCGTGCGCCAACCAGACCTCCTACCTGCAAGTCACCCGCTTTCTGATCTGCCGGTCGAGACAGAATCGAAGCCGCCTCCGTAATGGCGTTGGACAGGGCGGCGGCCAGTCGCTCTGCTCGAGGCCGATCTGCAGCACTTCGGCCCGGCGATGAGCAGATTTCATCTGAATCTGGGCGCCCGGCTCATGCCGGCGCTGACCTGGGCTAGGCGTTGCCTCGGAACTCTGCAGCCTACTCCTGTGAAGCAGTTCTGATATCAAGACTCTGACAACGAAGGTGGATGAAAATGAAGAGCATGGGGCAGATGCTCCTCAGGGAACAGGTGCTCATGGCTCGGCCTGCAGCGGACATTTTGACTTCCGCGCCAAGCGCCAGGCAGCTTCATAGGCAGCACGTGGTCGAACGTCCAGAAGCAGCAAGCGAAGAGATGGCAGCTGCCCGGACGGCACGGCCTGCACGGAGTCCTGCCGCGCTTCCACCATCCACGTCACCTTCTGGTCGCATGCAATCACCAAGCTCGCGGCCAGCAGTGCTGGATCAGAGGCCTTTCGGCAGTCGGGTAAATCATTGATCCTATGTAGTAAAGACCCTGCTACAAAATCAGCATCTCGGGAATATCTGCAAGCAAGCCACACGCACGAACTGCGCCAACACCTCCCTGGCGAGAACCACGAGCCTGCGCTCCTTGCCGAGATGGCTTTCCGGAGGTTATCGCCCGTGGTGATCAACGATGATCAACGACAGCAATACAAACATTAAGACAAAACAACAGCAACAGTGACAATCATTGTCCCCACAAACAATGACCTTGTGCGACTTTGGGCATGATGATAGTGGCTTTGCCGG